CCTTCCCCCCGCAGGGTCCTGGGGTCATGCCGGCCTTATAGTCCGGCGGAGACGCCCTAGCCCCGAAGTTGTTACTTTCTACGAGAGCCCCCCGGCGCCCCCCGCCGGGGCCTCGCCCAGGGCACCGTGCTGCTCCTGGAGCCCCAGCACCGCCGCCCTCTGGCGGTGAGCGCCCCGCGGGTGGGCGGGCGGGCGGGCCGGGCCTGAGCCGAGGTCTTGGGGTCTCGGGTGACGACCGCACGGGCCTCTGAGTGACGGCTGCGACCCCGGGCGGGTGTCTGTGACCCGCGGTCTGCGCCGGGACCGCCTGGAGACCGCACAGCCCCGCGCCGCTCCCAGGCTGCGGCTGGGGAGCAGCCAGCTCGCCACCCTCCGGCCCAGACCAGTGACTCCGGTGCACAGCAGAGCAGCACCTGAGCGAGAAAGTGTGCGTGCGGTGACGCTCTGTATTGTGGGGAGAAGGGGGACCCTGTAGCCCCTGAGCCTTTCCGAGGGCACCCGGTGCGCTGTTTTACCATTGAATGGGAGTGTCACAGAGAGAGCGCCCCGTGAGCACCCGGAGTGCAGGCCTGTTCCGAACACTCCGCATGCAGTGACTCAGGACCACCCTACCAGGGGCCCCCATTTTGCAGATGAGGAAACGGAGTCATGAAACAGCAGGCAGGCGAAGGACTTGTGTGCATGCACATCAGCATAAGTGCTGGATGTGGACAACAGGGGTGAGGGTGAGGGCGGGATTGGGGGGATGAGGGGACATCGGGGGGATAAGGACACATTTGTAATATCTTATTCAATAAAGGGGGAAAAAACAGGCCCCGCTTACCCAGGCTGAGGTGGTAGTAAGGGACTTCAGACGCACTCAGTGCAAGTCCAGGGCCTGTGCCCTCCATCACCTTTCTAACTGCCACCTACTGAGCACTGAGCACGTGCGGGGCAGGAGAAATTTCCCTCATTCAATTCTGCCACCATTCCTCCCTGGGAGTTTCTTGTTACCCCCGCCCCCCACCCCCCAAGTTCCCACTGAGGTCCTGAGCCACTGTGTCTGAGGCCACACGGCTGGTTAGTGAGAGACCCAGCAATGCCCGTGCCCCGTGCCACATGCAGGCCCATGCTCTGTGCCCCCCAGGCCCGTGCCCTGCCCGCAGGCGCCTGTGATGCCAGGCAGCTGAGGCCCCATCAGACACTCTCCACAGTCCACCCAAACCTACCCTGGGTCCTTAGCTTCTCTCTGAATCTCCTACTTCCCAGGAAACCTAACTGTTCATTCCTGAGAAGAGAATCTAGCTCATCCCGTGGCGTTGACACCCATCTGCCTGCCAACAGTGGCTCTCAGGGAAGCGGGCCCAACCCAGGCTTTCCAGCTACAGGTGGGCCGTGGACCCTTCCTGGTCTGCTCAGCAGTGGCTCCTTTCTTGTCTATAAAACAGGAACACTGTACTGCCTGGTGAGGACCAAGGGAGATGGGTGGCAGGCACAGAGGACAGTGGCACTGAGGATGGGCCTGCCTTGTCTTTGTTTTCACAGGGAGGAAAATGGTGCTCAGAGGATGGTTAGGATGTGTGTTCAAAGTTGCATGTCTCGGAAGTGGAAGAGTTGGGTCTGGGTGTAACAAATGAGCCTTCACTTTGTCGGGCACAGTAGCGCCTTCGCGGGCTACGCTTCTAGAGTGCCCTCTCTCCGCGAACGCGGTGGGTGGGTGCTCCGTGCTCGCTGTCTGTCCTTCCTTCCAAGGTCATGGATGGAAATGTCATAACTGCGAAGAGAACAGCAGCCGTGTCTGCCATCGCCACCAAGGTGAGCGTGGTGCCTGGGTGGGCTGGGCGGGTGGGGCGGGTGGGGCGGGTGCTTCAAGCTTGCGTGTCTAAGGGAGAAGTGGGGGACTTACCTTGGTCTTCTTACGAACATAGCCCGGACTCTGCACGCCAGATATGGGGTGTCAGGTGAGCGCAGTAATTCACAGCTTTATTAGCTACCACTTAAGAAGCCTGGCCAGATTCCAGGTACCTGACATGCATTATTCCTGTTGTTCACCTCAATCTTGCAAAGTAGATGTGATTGCCTATATTTGCCAGTTACAGGGAATGTGGTTCAGAGAGGATGTGCGAGTTGTTCAGGATCACAGAGCTACTAGGTGGCAGAGAAAGAATTTAAAATTTGACCCCTTTGACTCCCAGGACTGCTTTTGCCCCTGCACTACTGTTTCTGGTAAATCTATGGTTGCTCAGAGGCCAGAGCCATGCTGCACGGGAAGCAGAGAGCGAGCCAGACCGACTCCTGCTGGTCAGCCGGACTCACTGAGGCCCGCGCCTGTGCAGTCGGGGATGGCAGCGAACAAAGCAGAGTGACACACAGTATGATTTGCTGAGATAATTAGCAAACAAGCAACCTCTTTTGAGTTTAATAACATGCCAGGATTTGCTTTAAAAGCAACACTGCCACCGCCAACAAAAAAACAAATAGTACGTTAGTATTTGAAACTAAAGCAGAATGAAAATTATTGGGAAGGGGTTACATTTTAAATTATTCAGAAAAGACTTCACTGAGGAGGTGACATCTGGTTAAAGACTGAAGGCAGCCAGTGAGTGGGGTGGGAGGGGGAGGCGCTGGGAGTGGGGTGTGTTCCCAGCAGCTGCAGGGCCTCCTATAGCAAAAGCAGGATTTTCAGAGGTGAGTTACCAGCCCTGGACGACGGCTGTGGGGACTGTCACGTCGGCAGTCTTGCTTGTCAAGTGGAAAAGGTCTGGGAACACGGGGCTAGAGGCCTGAGTGTGAAGGAAATGGGATCTGGCAGCGGCTGGCTGGCAGAGACCAGGCGGGCAGGCTGTGTGTGTGGTGATGCGGAGGGAAGAAGACGAGCATTAACTGGCCATTGTACAGGAAGGGAACCTAAACACACACCTCGTTGAACTGGTTTTTAAAAATCCTATCCGGACCCAATTCAAATCGAAATAACACAGGGGCTCCCTTGGCAGTGCTCGTCGCTGACTTAGGAACAGAGTGACAGGCGGCACTGCCTCCCATGGGTGAAGGATGCGGGTCCTTTCCAAAGCCCTCCCCAGCCCATCCTCTCGCCTTCACTCGGGATTCAGCGAGGGAGGCAGAGCGAGTGTCACTGGCCTCGCTGAGTGCACAGGGGATGGAGACGCCTGCCCCCCCATCACACACACTAGCTGTGGATCTGCCAGGGCTGCCTGGTCTTGTCCCCTATCAGTGGTGTCCAACCCAAGCTGTGCAACAGCGTTACCTGGGGACTGTGTTCCCCAAACCCTGGTCGAAGCCGCTGAGGGCGGGCCCGAGAACCTCGTTTTTTAAAAGTCTCTGGTTGATGCTGATGATCAAGCAGCTTGGGAACCAAAGGCTTCTAGACCACCTCTCCTTCCAGGTGCCGTTGCATTGACAGGAACATGTGCTCCCAAGCCCGAGGCTGTGGCCTCAGGGCTCCCTTCTCCTCTTCCCCGGCAGGTAGATTACTCTGTAAGGAACAAAGGGTCTGTCTGCTCCTCGCTCTGGGAGAGTGCGGTGTTTTGGTGTTTTCTCCCTCACCCCTTCTCTCACTGAGGCTAACAGGGGACATGTATTGGAGTTCTCAGGCCAGGGGACCTGTACCTGCTTTGCATTTGCGTCGCACAGAACCTGAGTTGGGGACTCTGGCGTGCTTTCCCCAGGCGACACTCTAGCAAGATTTATGCTTGGCATGTGTTTACTCAACAAATATTAGAGTGCCCACCCGGCTCCAGGCCTGTGCTCAGCATGGTGCCTAGAATGGTTAAGTAAAACTAGACGCAGTGCCTGCCGTCAAGGAGCTCCAAGTCCATTTGGGGAGACATTACGCAAAGATCACACCAATAAATGTGAAGCTACAGCCCTGCCACATACACTGAATGAAAGGGGTGAAGAGCTATGAGAGTGTACAACGGGGTGGATTGGGGAAGCGTTTCCTGTGTGAGGGGGTATCTGAGCTGAGATTTGAAGGAGAATAGGGAGTTACTCGAGAGGGGTGGGAAGAGGAAGGAGCCTGGGAAAAGGCCCTGTGGGGACAGAGGCATAGGTGCCTGGGAAACTGCCAGGAGGCGGGTGTGGCTGGAGGTCAGACTCCCATGGCGGGAGGGGGCTGGGAGGTAGGAGAGCCAGACTGAGAGGCCTTATCAAATGCCACTGAAACACAGGCTTGCCGACTCTGTGAGTGAGAAGCCCAGCAGATTCATGTACGTGTTTTTAATGATCTGCATGCTTACAGGAAAAGACTGAGGTGTGGCGAATCCCGCTATGATTCAATAAATCTTACAAACATTATACTGTTTACAAAAAGATACATCAATTATAACGTTACCCTCAAGGCAACAAATGATCGAGTAAGGTGACCCCTCAGAATTAGACATTTAGTTTCAGAGGACGAGGGTCACTTTTCCAGGACACTGCAATGTCCGAAGCCCAGGCTTACTCCCAGAAACAGATCGCTATTAGCTGAGAGCAGAAGCAGTGGGTTAGTGGAGGAAAGATCACCCAGGTCTCCTGATTGGGCACTGGCCTGTGGATATCGTCATTTTGAAACCTTTTCAAAGCAGATTCTGTGACAATAGCTTGTGTCGGGAGTGGTATCCCTCCTGCAGCTATAGGGGAGGTGAGCACCTGGTAAGGTTTCTGAGCCTCCTTTGGCCGGTAATTAATGTTAAGAAGACCGGTACTTTAAGGTGACACTCCAGAATCTCAGGAATCAGCATTGTAGGAAAGACCAGACCCCAGAGCCTAAATTTTGCTAAATAAAATAGAGAAAAGACAGAACGGGGTCTTACTTTAAAAACTGGTGTCCTTCCTTTAAGCCAGTGGTTCTTAACCCAGGACAGCCGTGCCACCTGCCCCGGGGCACTGAGCATCTGGAGACAGTTTTGATTGTCAGAGGTGGGGGTGCATGGATGGAGGTGCTGCCAGCACCTAATGGACAGAGGCCAGGATGCTTCCAAATACCCTGTGGTGCACCCACCTCCCGCCAGCAGAGTGGTCCAGCCCAAATGTCATTAGTCTCGAGGTCAAGAAACCCTGCCCTAGGGCCAATTCTGTGCAAACAAGGCAGCTCCTGTCCTCATGGGCCTGTAGGTCAGTACAAGCAAACGCGTTTATAAGTGCTGTCAGAGGTAAGAAAGGTTTCACTGAAGAGCTGACATGATATGAATTGATGAGAACCCCGTGCCCAGACACACACACACAGACACACACACACACACACACACACACACCCTCAGTCTGTGCCACAAATGCCAGCTCCACATTCCGCTTTAAAGTGAGACGGGCTGAGAAAAGACACACAGGGACGGGCTCAGCAAATACAGCCGAGACCGGGTCTGGAGGGCACATCTCCAGGCAGCGCTTAGCACCTGGGAGCTCTGAGGCCTGGGCGTGGCTTTTCACGTCCCTAAGAGGGGGTAGCATTAGAAGGAGTGTGGGCTTTGGAGAAGGAAAGCTGTGGGGTTAGCACTCCACCACCCAAGTGGTAGTTGTGGGGCCCTGGGCAAGTTACCGGTCTGCTCTGGGTCTCAGTTTCTTCACCTGTAAGAGGAAGATAGAATAGAAGTGTCTAGCTCATGCAGTCATTGTCTGGACTAAATGAGGTTGTGCAGGGAAAGTGTTGGCATATATTAGGTGCTCAATGAAGGCGCCTTCTTTCTCTCCTACGCTCCTGAGAGGAACAGAA